ACATAGAAAGATTAATTTATTTCATAAATATAAAGTATTCCTAGCCACCAAGTGTGGAAGCATAGGCTGGAATATCAATGCTGATCTGAGCAGCTTGTTCTTAATATATTCAGTATTTGGGGAGCCATTGACGATATTAAAGTTGGAATGTGACAGGATTGAAGATATACCCAGAGAAGATTAATCTTGTAGTCAGTCTAGCAATACATGAGAAGGGATAGGAAAGACACATTAGAAGGTGGTTGTAATATTATAAAGAAGACTATTGCTTGAAACAATGGGGACAAAGTGTTATCGGAGAATTATGTGGATTGCTCTTCTCCATTGCTAGTGAGAGTGGAGTTTTTTTGTTTTTTTAAAATATATTTTATTGATTTTTTTTAAAAATATATTTTATTGATTTTTTACAGCAAGGAAGGGAAAGGGATAGAGAGTTAGAAACATCGATGAGAGAGGAACATCGATCAGCTGCCTCCTGCACACCCCCCACTGGGGATATGCCTGCAACCAAGGTACATGCCCTTGACTGGAATCGAACCCGGGACCCTTCTGTCCGCAGGCTGACGCTCTATCCACTGAGCCAAACCGGTCAGGGCAAGAGAGTGGAGTTTTTGGGGTGCCATTGGAAAAAGAATTTCTGGAGGCCTCCAGGGAGAATAAAATGTGGTATAAAGCTTTATTTGTGTGGAATTATATCCCTCAAGTTGCAAAGTCTCATTTCCCTTAAACCAGTCCTGGAAAAGGTGCAGTTGGGGATCCAGCAGAGCTAAAAGCAAAGCCATTGTCCAGAGTTTGTGTTCCATGGTGGAACTGGGTCCCATGTAGCATCAGACTAGTTAGAGTCCATTAGTCCATTGTGTGTGGAGTCCACATGGCCATGAGCCATGTAGGCAAATGCAGGAGCGTGAGAGTACACCCCCTGCCACAAGAGTCCCAAGAGAGCAAGAAGGAGGGAACTCCTTTGTTCTGGAACTTATACTAGTATATCTCAAATCTTGTTGCACTTGCAGTGGCCATGCCTCTTTTGGCCAATGACCACTCCCAGGAGTGACTGACAGGTAGTCATCTTCCCTACATCAGCCAGACCTTATTATGGGTGTACCTGTTATATTCAGTCATTGTTCCTTTCCAGTTAATTAATAACTGGGTTAAATACAACGATGTCAACTGGACAAAAGGAAATGGGTACAGGCAGCATTGCTGTAGAAGAGTATATGGGTTCTGCATATTAATAGGGTACTGATGAGGTGGTGGTGATAATGCTTGAGAGAGAAGATGCCTGGAGTGACTGGCAGGTAGTGATGCTTTTATTAGAAGGGCTATTTATTTATTTATTATATAAGTATTTATTAATTATATAAGTAGCAGTTGTGATTTTAAATGTTGTCCCACCACCCTTATATATTTACTGTTCTCATATAGCCTACTCAGACCACCCACTTTTTTTTTTTAACTTGATGTAGTACAAGTGCTTGAGAGCTAGCTTTAAATATAAGCTGCCATATTTTAGATGTGTTCATTTTCAGATGCTTGCAAAACTTTTGGGTAAGATTAGATGTTTGAACTGGAAGCGATAGGAACCAAATGCTAATCCTGTTTTTACTTCAAATTTTAATGTTCTGTTCATCATGGATGTTTAATTACTGAGTTTTGGGCACCCCCTTAAATTTTGCTTCACTCATCTTACCCTGTCCTGGTCTGGAGTGGTTTTAAAATCCTATGAGTAACTAGGATCAGAGGAGGAAGAACACGTGGACAGAAAGAGAGGACTGACCTAGGGACAGGGACAGGAGCAGGGTGGGAGGTGGGGGAGGGGTTGGAAAGAGGAAAAGGCATGCAGTCCAAAGTGAGAAGGGCCAGTCAGGGAGCAGATTGAGAATGGAACCAGGAGAGGACATTCAGACAAGCTTGAATGAGGATAGGATTTTGAAGAAGCAGGGTGGTGGTCATTAATCTTAACATAAAGGTTGAGAAGGAAAGAGTAAAGATTGAGAAGAGGTGGCGACTGTTTTGCTGATGAAGAATGTCATCCATTGCATTGGAGAGGGCAATGTTTCTGAAAAGCTTTGCCATTTTAATCTGGAGGGGTAGGGTAAACAGATTAATTAACATTTTATTTTTAATAAACATGCCTGGCAGTACTGTTGTAGAAATTTGATGTTTTTAAATTAAGAAAATTTTGAAATATGTATGCCTTCTACCATTTGTAACTACAATATAGACGAAAGGGTGATCTAATTATTATTTCTTCTTTTACTTTCATAGGTAATTGGAAATCTTGTAACAGTTATAAACCTGTATCAAAAATTTATATGCTTTTTTTTTTACTTGTAACTTTTGTTTTGGACTTGAGGATAATGATTATATCCAAATACATCTGTATTACTACACAAGTATTACTATCCTAAATACTTACTCAAATAACTCCTGACGTTAATCACCTTCTTTAAGAATTTTCTTTGTGTTTGGGAATATATTTGTTGTGTTTAATCTTGCTCTGGATATGGGTGTTACAAAATGCTCTCCTTTATCTTTCTAAGCTTAAAGTCTTAATGATTGTGGACTTTTTTTTTTTTTTAAATCCTCACCTTAGGACATTCTTAGACAGACAGACATCAACGTAAGAGAGAAACAACAATCAGTTGATTGCCTTCCGTATGTGCCCAACTGGGGATTGAACCTGCAACCCAGGCATGTGCCCTGACTGAGAATCCAACTGGCAACCCTTCCATGTGCACAAGACAATGCTCAACCAACTGAGCCACTCTGGGCGGGCAATTGTGGACTTTTTTATGGAGCCACATTCTTAGCCCTTTGCTCTTCTCCATGTATATGATGTTCTCCTTTACCTTTGGAAATTGTATTTATTATTTCTTGTGTGTATGGCTCTCACCTTAAGGAGGATGATTCCCAAATATATATCTACATCTTGATCCTCCATTTTTTTGTTATGTTGCCTTCCCAGCCCCACATCTAAAAAATTCTCCTAATTCTTCAGAGACCAGCTGAAAAGTCACTTAACCCTAACGAGGCCTTTCCCAGTCCCCGAGCCAATTTCTGACTTGCCATCTTCTTTCAGTAGAAGCTCACTTGTTGAGTGTCTCTTCTGTACCAGGCACTTTGCTAGCCTCTAGTAAACAAAGCAGTAAGATTCCTACTCATGTGGTGCTTATGTGACGACCTCTTTTGAACATCTTTCCCTTGTGTCTCTTAGTCACTCTTACAATAAACCCTTACCTGAATATTCTATAATCAGTTATGTAAAAGTAAACTTAGCTTTTCCTTCGAACCAATTCTCTTTGTAGACTTTCTCTACTTAAAAAAAAAAAAAGATGTTCACATAGTCTGTCACCAAAGATTAAAGTCATGGAATTTTCTGTTTTTACCTCTAATTAAGTCATTCTTTATTCTATCATTTCTTCCTTTGTAGTGAATCCTTTTCCATTGCTTCATCAAAATATGTATAGACTTCTGCAGTAGTCTGCTTACTGGCCTTCTCTTTACTGTTACCAGGTTAATTTTCCTGAAGAAATACATTTTCACACATTCCACATTGCTCAGAAATTGTTGGTTGCCCTTTGAGCAGACAAAATGAAATAAAAATTAGGACTATCCTTTTGCCCCTTTTCACAGATCCTTTGCACCAGCAGCCTTTGTCGGTCTTTTGAGCATTCCATGTTTTTTTCTTAAGCATTTTCTCCATGTAAATGTTCTTCCCATTTTCTTCTCTCAAGTCTTATTTTACAAAGCCTTTCCCCTACCAATAGAGACTGCTTTTGTCTTTAAACTGCTATTACACGTACACTACCAAGTTGGCATTTATATATAGCTCTAGAGGCCCGGTGCATGAATTAGTGCATGGGTAGGGTCTGGCTGGCCTGCCCCAATTGGGCCCACTCAGGCTGGTGGGAGGGGGGGAGGAGCCGAGGGAGGTTGGCAAGCCAGCCCCGCCCCCTGTTTGAACTCCTGGTCAGTTGAACTCCCACCCGAGGGGACAATTTGCATATTAGCCTTTTATTATATAGGATATTCAGCAACTTCTGTGCTATTTTTATATATTTATTACATTCTCTCTCTCTCCCAGTTAATCTTTGAACTGTTTTAAAATTATATCTGATTGAGAGGAATACTTGGTAAAGGCCAAAAAGGAAGGTTGGCTTCTCTGAAAATAACCAAAAACTTATTTGTTTTTAGTTAGAGCTCTTTATATTAGTTTTACATTAAATGTATGTCACATTTATAGTTCCTTCATCCTTTGTTGAACTTAATTTTTTAAATTGTTATTGATTGATTGATGTTTTTAGAGAGAGAGGCGGAGGGAGAGAAAGAAATACCATTTTGTTTCTCCACTTATTTATATGCATTCATTGGTTGATTCTGGTATGTGCCCTGACTAGGTATCAAGCCTACAACTTTGGTGTATCAGAATGATGCTCTAACCAACTGAGCTACCTGGCCAGGGCTAAAGTCACTAAATTTTGCTAGTTTTATCTATTTTCTACTTTTTACATAATTCATATTAGTCCCTCTACTATTAAAAAGTCTAATCAAGTTGAGGTTATGGTTCTGAATATACATAGTAAGTCTGCAAGGAAATTCCATGAGGCTGGGAGTCTGGAAGATACGGACTCTAGACCACTGCTGCAGTTTCTAAATCCTTGGACAAGACCCTTAAGGATGTTGTGTCTCAGTTTCATAATCTGTAAATAAAGTTGTCGAGTAAATGATCTTAAGTCTTCCTGGGTCTAAATTTCTTTCGTGTTTATATTGACACTACGTAGTTACCCCTGTTTTGTTTTTTACTTTAGCCTGAAGACAGGCTCTTTATATTAACAAAGTTCTGCTGTTATAACTTCCTTTCAGATTCTAGTTTAATTAGTAATGACTACTTCATTTGGCATTTGTTCAGTTCTGGATCTAGCATTGTTTTCACAGCAAACACACTATTTATTAAAGAGATAACTTACCCTCATTTGGATTTATACTTGCTTTATTTTTAGGTATTTTCAAAAGAAATAATTCCAGATTGATGGATGAAATTTTAAAACAACAGCAGGAACTTCTGGGCTTAGATTGTTCCAAATACTCAACAGAGTTTGCAAATAGTAATGACAAAGATGATCAAGGTAAGCCTGAATATAAAATTGAATATCTAACAAAAGCCGATGTGTTTTGTGGTTGAAGGCAAATCCTGTCACTCATTCATTCATTCATTCCACCCTGTTGGTCTTTATTGTCACCATCTTTAATCATCAGATTTAGACTTTTCTTCATTTTGATAATTTTTTTAAAAGATGATTTTATTGATTTCAGAGAGAGGAAGGGAGAGGGAGAGAGGGATAAAAACATCAATGATGACAGAGAATCATTGATTCGCTACCTCCTGCATGCCCTCCAGTGGGGATTGGGCCTGCAATCTGGCATGTGCCTCTACCAGAATTGAACCCTGACCTCCTGGTTCATGGGTCGATGCTCAAACACTGAGCCACAAATGGCCAGGCCATTTGTTAATGATTTTCAGAAAAAGATAAAATTATGAATTTCAGAGATATTAAAAAATAAACACATGTTAAAGATTTTATTTCACTCGTAAGCCACGAGGAGCCAGGCAGATTTTATACCAGTTCAAAGAATCCAAAGAACGGACACATTTCTAGATCAGGACTATTGAAATGGTTTTAGTGGGGTTGGTGGGAACCTCTGTAGACAAGAATTTGGCATTGCTCTTACTTACCTAGAGTCCTACCAATTGTAAAATAGCTTGGATAGAATCATAAATTTGATTAAGTGCGTATGTATTGTAAACAATGCATATTCCATTAAAACACATTTTTTTTTGTCTTCAGTCCCGTGTTACTGCTAACTGCTATGATTGTAGATGCCACTTTAGACTTATAGAAATTGAAATTTATTCTATAATTAAAATTCCTATTTGCTAGAGGATTTATTCACAGAGACAAGGTCATTCTGCATACTTTAAAGAGAAGGCAGTATATAAATACATACACAAATGTGATGTGTGGGTCCTTTCAGAGGAAAGTAGTTTAAGTATATTTTGATAGGAAATTGAAGGGCTTAAATGATTCTTTTTTACCGTAAGAACTTTACCTTTATTTAGGTCTGAATATAACATATCTTGAAACTGATTTTGAAATATATCTGGAAAAGTATGTTTTTATTAATGTTTTGTTTGTGTTTTCCTCCAGTTTTAAATTGCCAAGTGGCAGTGAAGGTCCTGTCCCCAGAAGATGGAAAAGCAGATATTGTACGAGCTGCTCAGGAATTTTGCCAGTTAGTAGCCCAGCAGCAAAGTAAATCCACAGATTTGGATGTGCATATGTTAGACAGTTTACTTAGTAAGTCATATATATTTATTTTTGTTTTTGTCCCACAAATATACAGTATGAAGAAGAATATCTAGGTTCCTTTCACATTTTTAAGCCTGATTTTGTTGTTGTTATACATGTTGTGTTTCTGAAGTTTAAGATCCTATGTGAAATTGGTTTTGAGAACATGACGTTCGTTGTCAACTCACTTGCATGAGGACTTACTGGTAAAGGAGAGGACCTAAGAGGATTTGTGGCGGGGAGTGATGAGTATTCTTATAAAGGACTTCTGCCTGTTAGCCTTCCTCCCTCTGGGATGTTTTTCTATACCAACAATGAGTTTTATAATTCTCCAGACACCAACTGGGTGTCCAACAATTCAGTTTCATTCCAATACTAACTACCCAGAGTTAGTGTTAGAGTCTAACAGGCTTAAGAACTCGGTCACGCAAGACTGCCCCCACTTCAGTCACCAGTTGTAATTCTCTGAGCACCTGTACTTGGGATCAATCAGCTATAAATAGGGGGTTCCCATGACTCCCTCCTCAAGTTTGATAATTTGCTAGAATGGCTCACAGAACTCAAAAGGCACTTATGTTTATCGGCTTGTTGCAAAGGATACAACGCAGGAAAAGGCGTACAGGGCAAGGTTGTAGTGGGAGGTGGGCGTGTGGTAATGCAGCCTCTCATATAGAGATCAGGTAGCCATGCCCCCTCTGTGTAAACCACTCTCATTGTGTCTACCAACCGAGAAGCTCCGAATCCTGTCCTTTTGGGGGGTTATGGAATCTATTACCTGGCACCACTGCTTAAATCTTTTTAAAAATGATTTTATTAAAGAGTTTCATTTTTATGAAATCCAACTTACCAGTTTTTCTTCAGTAGATCATGTATTTGGGGTCATGTCTGAGAAACTTTTGCCTAATTCAAAGTCACAATTATTTTCTATGTTTTCTTCTAGAATTTTTATAGCTTTAAGTGTTATATTTAAGTCTGTGTTCCATTTTGAGCCCATATTTGTGAATGGTGTGAGGCATAGGATACCAGTTTTTCCTTATTAAAAAGATTAACTTAACCTTTCCCCCTTGAATTACTGTGGCTCCTTTGTTGAAAATCAGTTTACCATAAATCTGCAAGTTTATTTCTGGGCTTTCTATTCTATCCCATTTCTTTCTATTCTATCCCATTGCTCTGTATTCTGTCCTTATAAAGCTACAGTGTGTTGATATTCAAAGCATAAGAAGCCGATTTGATGAACGGTTTTTGCCCTTGGTCATTTTATTTGCAAGCAGTGCATGTTAAGTTTGTATGTATTTCTTTCTTTTCAAGGTTCAAATGGTTTTCCTGATCCTGATGTAGTACTGAAGTTTGGGCCTGTGGAGAGCACTTTAGGCTACCTTCCCTGGCACATCAGATTGACTGAGATTATGTAAGTAATTAAAAGTGCTCTGACTTTGGTTCAATTCAGCAGGAGTTTCTGGGGCCTAGTACTGTACTACGTTTAATGGGTATTCCCCAAAAATTGCAATACTAGATTCTTTCCCCAGGTATTTCACAGTATCATTGGTAAAAGAAAGACATATAAATGCTCAGACACGAGAGGGTATGTTTGTGCAAATGTTAGGTATTGACACCAAGTATCATAGGAGATCAGGAGTGAGATATCTCTGTGGGCCAGAATTGTTGACTATGTCGAAAGGATGTGACTTGATCTGAAGATGTAAATTGGGTGGAATTTTGTAACTAGAGGAAAGAAGTGTAGGGGACTGGCAGTGGTGGGGGAAGCTGGGGTGCAGAGGATGCTCATTACATGTCAGAGATGGAATGAAGGAACTGGCCACACCGGAGCCGGGCGTTAGTGTTAGGTAGTAGTGTGAGATAAAATCAAATAATTTGGGAGTGGAGACATTGAGAACACTTTAAATAGCAGCGGAAGGAATGCATATCATTGTTTGGACAGGCAGATGGAAACCGTTGAGCCTGGGGAGGATGCGGGAATGGTGACCCTGGAAGATTTGTTTGGTAACTGGAACAGAGCAGATTGCATTTGGGGGAGGATGAGGTAAACACACCAGTGAAGAGGCCATGGCTTAATCTAGGGGAGGATACAGTGAAGAGAATGAAATTGCTTATTTTGAACAGTTGGGTAAGCTTTTTGTATAAAGGGCCCAGTAGTAAATATTTTAAGCCTGCGGGGTCCTACAGTCTCTTGCAAGGTCTCCTCTGTTGCAACTACTTAACATTGGCTAGTATACCTAAACAACCACAGGCAACATGTGAACAAGCGTGACCACATTCCAATAAAACTTTATTTACAAACACAGGTAGCTGGTTCTTGGGCTGTATTTGTCAATTTAAAACAAAGGAGAGATTTAGGAGCGTTAAAATATATTTAAATTCTGGGCTTTAGGGGAAAAAATACTACAAATTCTATCTCATGAGAAGTATAATTGCAGGCCTGGCACTTCACTAATTATGATAAAAGAAATGAAATGACTCCTCTAAGTTTTTAAGCCTAAGTGACTGGGTGGATTATAGAGCTATTGAGAGAAGCGGAAAAGTGAAGGGAGCATTGACTTTAGAAGGGAAGATGTTGAATTCAAGAGTAAGATGATTTTGAGGCCATAGTCTGTTTAGATGGAAACGTGTAGAGGGCAGAAGAAGATGTAGAGTTGGTGCTTGGATGAGAAGTCAAGGCTAAAGATGAATCTGGGGAGTGTCAGTGTCTTGGAAGTAGAAGTAGGGAACCTGTGAGAGTAGAGGACTTCTCTAATGGGTACATCGAGGAGCACAGTACCAAGGGATCAAGTGCCTCAAGCTCAGGGGCTGGAGGGGAAAGGGTGTCAAATAAAGAGGCAGAAGAGCAGCAGCATGTTAGAGTGAGAAAGGGCTGTAGATCACCTGAGGTGGCCGCCTCATTTTGTAGGCGAGTAAAGTGGAAGAGACATTGCTCAGGCTTGTAACAAAGTGGAATTAGAACTCAAATGTGCAGACTCTGGGTTTCCCTAGGGTGGTGCTTATTTCTCTTGTCTCCTTTTCTCTAGAACTTTTCATGTCATTTTCCATGCCTTTCAGGTGGGAGTAGTTTAGAGGAAAAAGTGTGTTTTAAAACAGATCTTGGTTTAAATCTTAGCTATCTATGTAGTTCATTAACATGATTTTGGAAAGCTATTTAAACTTCTCTCTATTTGTAAAATGGGCTGTTAAACACAGAGTTGAGGACTTAAATCTGATAATGGACATCGGATATCTAGCACATACAGGCTTTCCTCGTGGATCTTTGTACTGTGTCAGTCAAAGCTCTACGTCTATTACAGCTCTACGTTATATTGAGGTTTGCTCTGTATTTGTCTACTGTCCACCAAACTGCAAGCACCCAGATGCAGGAAAATGTCCTAATATGGAAGAGAAGGGTGAGCCCTGACGAAGCCGACCAGGAAATAGGACCACTTCGGAGGCATGGGGGTGGTGGCGCTAAGTGCTTCCTGAGGAGTGGCGGGAGATGAGACTGTGGGAAAAGGGGGTGAAATGAGGAGGGCTTAGGAAAGTGGTAGTTTGAGGAGGACATTTGAAGCAGGCTTTAGCAAGAAGAATGTCAGTAAATTTGTCCTTTGAGGATGTCATTTCAGTAGAGTGAATAGGATAAAGGGTTGATGGTAGTCAAAGGAAGGATAAAGATTATATGTCAGGTCTATCTCAATAAAGCTGGGGTTTGCGGAAGAAAAGGTAAAGTATAGCAAAAGAGAACCACAGGGGCAGAGAGGAGTTCATACATGGCAGGTTTGCTGAATCCTTTTCTCTGGTGCATGAATGTGGCTCTTGTACAATAGCCAGGTGTTTGGCTCTAATAGTGTTTGGAATTTCCAAAGCCTCACAATAAAGCTGTATAAAATAGAGATTTATAAAAAATGTTAATTACTGAAAATTACTTAAGTGTTTAAAATACTTAAAGGGGAGCCCTGACTGGGTGGCTCAGTTGGTTGGAGCATTGTCCTGTACACCAAAGGGTTGTGGGTTCGATTCTGGGTCAGGGCACTTGCCTAGGTTGTGGTTCAATCCCTGGTCTGCTGAGTACTGGAAGCAGCCAATTGATGTTATCTCCCTCTCATCCTCCCTCCTCCCTTTCCTCTCTGAAAATCCTCAGGTGAAAATTAAACATAAATAATAATAAAATACTTAAAGGAAACCCTCCAGCTATATGTTCACTCTGCCTGTAAAGTCCTTGTCTTCACGCAGCCATTGTCCCCTTGAGCAATTGGAAATGGTGGAAGTAGATGTCGTTTATTTATGGTTACTCACCACATGGCTTCAGTCTGTCACTGTGCAGGGATGCTGTGCTGCTCTGCCAATGCCAAGCCTGGCTTTCCTAAACCAGTAAAGTAGTACTGGCTTTACTCAGAGAGGAGCTCTTGAAGTCAATGAATGAAATCTTATATAAATAGATCTCCAGCTTTGCATTAATCCTACTTAGAGGTTCTGAATCGCTATCTCACTACAAATTATTTTTCTCTTATTGTGGAAGGAGAGATTGTTTTTCACTTGAACTGTTTCACAGTTAACAATCATTTAGTAGAAATGGTTTGTATTCTCTATATTTACAGTTTACTTTCTTCTGTCCTTAACCTCTCTTTGGTCATTACCCTCTGGTTTCCCCCTCCAAATTACAGTATGTCATCTAATTGCCTCTTTTCCCCTGTGCTTCCTTTTCAGCTCCTTGCCTTCCCACCTAAACATCAGATATGAGGACTTTTTCTCTGCCCTTCGTCAGTATGCAGCGTGTGAACAGCGTCTGGGAAAGTAGTGATCCCTGCCTGCATAATTTGATTTCAGGCTTTTGGAGAAAAGGACCTAAGTGATTCTGATGTTTACAAAGCAACTATGAAACCCTGTACACACCTAGTTTATAACCCTCATAATTTATCAACAAACACAAAAAAGTGTCTTACTTGAGAGTAAGTAAGTGTGAGTGTGTGTGCGTGTGTGTGCGTGTGTGTGTGTATGGATGGAAATAAACTTATAAATGGGAAGTGTTAGAGAAGGAAATACATGGACTTGCACCTCTGAGCAAGCAGCAGTAATGTTATAGGAGCTGAAATTTCAGTTTTAAAGCCTTCAGCCCCAACTACTTCCCTGTTTTTGTAGGGACGTGAGTGGATGTTTAGAGCTGTTAGATTATTATTTTGGAGGGAGGGGGGATTTTTTTTTTTTTCAGTCTTTCCTGATGACCAAACCTTAATTTTTAAGAATAATATATTGACTTATTAAATGGAAGCATTGTGAGTTTGAGGGATTTCCAGAGGAATGGAGATCTTTATTGCTCACGTGTTAAAAACTTGCTCACCATTGAAGCCCAAGGAATACCTGTTTTCAGATACCCGTCCTTTTTCATCTCATCGTTATTGTCAAACAATGTGACTGGAGAGTGTTGATCCACTGTCTTCGTTCTGGGATATGAAGATCACTTGAAAAGAACTCTTACAACATTGAAATGAAGAATTTAAAGAATTTTAAAAATTTAAGTATTAGGCAATCCAGAAAAGGTGAAGAAGTTGGAATCTGAAAAACAAAGGTGGAAAGTTTCCTAATGGATTTTTGTTGTTTGATGGATAGTGTGCTACATAGTATCCAAAGTTATGTTAAAAAAATATTTCCACTAACTGTTTGTTTAAAATAAGCATTTGAGAGAATATAAGGCAGCTCTTTTCCTCAAAAGTAACCTGTTCCTCTTTGGAATCACACATTTAGGACCATGTTAGTACCCAGGGTTTTTGCTCAGTAAATCCTGGTGGTGACTTTCTGTCAAAGACCTTTAAGTGAGATTGAGGGCTGTGTAGGTAATAAAACATTACCAAAGGCTACAAAAGTAAATTAATTCTACATATTCTCTTTCATGACAGAGAACAGCACTGGTTCTGTTATCTTTTTTAAATAAATAAATGATTTTTGATAGGTATTTAATATTTCTTTCCTCACTGCTGATCCTTGAACAGAAACCATTCTTTATATTTGATGGACAGTTTTCAGAAAAATCTTAACAACTGTATAATAATTATCTAAAATTGTACATTTAGAATGGAGAAATTTAAATAGTAGGTCTCAAAAGTCTGAAAAATAACAGAGAAGACTGTATTTGGAAAGCAAGATCTGGAATTGCTTGTCAAATTCTGAAGGTATGAAGAATAAATGTTTCAACTTTGGATTACAAAACCCCATTTATGATTAAAAATATACTTGAAATAAAATTATTAAACTAAATTTTGGTTTAGTGATATTGCTTTGCACTTCATTGTTCTTTTAACATTGTAAGACTTTTTTTTTAAAGTCAGTTTATTGCTGAAAGTTTTATGTGAAGCTACAGCATATCTCTGAACTTGACCAGAGAATTTTTTATTTCTGTTCCCCTGTACAGTGATTCGTGTTCTAGTGAGGATTTTTTTTTTTTGCCTTAGTTTAAGACTGAATTTACGGTTTTTATAAACATGTGTCTGGAATATGTATAGCTTTAATGAATTAAATGTAATGGGCCCAATTGAAATGAAAAGATATAATATTTGTTAAAACGATGTTAGTCAAATAAATTACCCACTGGGATATAGCCAAAGTTGCTAAAGGTTTAATAGTTGTCTTTTACTTTATTTTCTTCCATTTTGTAGCAGTATAGTGCTACACACCAGAGTGAATCTATAACCTGTGACTTAAGTTTATTATAGTCCTAGGAAGAGACCCTGAAAACAAGTTGCTAAGGATTCTGAGTTCAGATATAGGCATTCCATATCTTTCTCCTCATGGGTTCAACTACTAGTACAATCTCCACAACTTGAATGGCATTGGTCATTCTGTAATTCCTGCCAAAATTATCACTAGTTAACGCATTATCCGGGCTCCCTTGCACTCCCAAGAAGAACTGATAATTTTAAAGGAAAGTGTTGTTTTGTCTTTATGTTTATTGAAGGATATTGTTTAAATATCTTTTAAATACTTTATTGACACTCCCCATAATGGAAAAATTTATCAAATTAAACCCACATTCTAGATGGCAGCTTGGAGCATAGCAAGAAGTCAGGGGTTGAAAACTAGTCCCAATCTGGTTTGATTTTGTTTTTTAAAAATGATTACTGTTACAAAGTTTGAAAGCTGGTTTTGATGCTAATAGCAAATTGTGTATATTGTGACTAAGGCATAATAGCCTGTCTTAAGAGAGGGAGGTGTTGTTAATAAACAGTGCCAAATACACTGTGCATATCTACAAATTAATCTTTGAATGTATGTTACTTGATAGCTCCCTCCTCCTGTGTGATGGTTCCATGCCTAGTAAGATCCTTGTGATGTTTTGTATGGCTGTAGACTTTGGTGACATGTAAATAATGTGCAAAGCAAGTTTTTATGATTAAGGAATCAAATTTATTGAATTTTATGATTGAAAGTTGAAACTTAACATGTATGAACAAAACAATAAAAGAATATACTCTTTTCATGGACTATATTGTTATGTGAATGCTACATTTATTCTAAACATGTAGGACTTGCAGAAATGGAATGAGAAACTCCTATGACTATATAGCAATACTATTTTTTTAGATGATATGTTCTAGATCAGGGGTCCTCTAACTACAGCCCACGGGCCACATGCAAATACAAATATTGTATTTGTTCCCGTTTTGTTTTTTTACTTCAAAATAAGATATGTGCAGTGTGCATAGGAATTTGTTCATAGTTTTTTTTTAAACTATAGTCCAGCCCTCCAACGGTCTGAGGGACAGTGAACTGGCCCCCTGTTTAAAAAGTTTGAGGACCCCTGTTCTAGATTGAAACATATTCTCATTTTTACCAGGTTAAATATTGGGAATCGTATAATGTTATTTGCTTTTTGCTATATAACAGTGATATAAAATTCATCTTTCCCATCGCTAGAATTGTCAAAATTCTACAATAATTAAAATAAGAATTGATTTTTACTGAATATGGAATGCCGAATTTAAAATGTATATGTGTACTCTTTTTAAAAAAAATTGACAGTTTTGTCAAACCAGGAAATTAAAGGGTAAGAGCTATCATCTGTTGTACGTTGCATAGAGTATTCACTTTCTAACTTGAGGATCTAATTATAAGATAGTTGGTTTTTATGCATAATTTTCATCTGAAATAAAATTTTCAAAGGTCACATTTTAACTTTGGTTAATAGGAAATGCCTTTAACAAAAATTAGTGTAGAAAAGGTTCCGGATGGTTTGAAATAATCCCAGGAAACAAATTAGTGTCAGCAATTGTCCAGGAATCCTAGTTGATAGGCCATGACCTGTGATAAAATTGGTGGAAAGGGGGAGTGCAAAAAGAATCTGCTTAAAGTTAAAAAAAAACCCAACACATTTATTGTAGGAAAAATTAATTTGGAGACATAAAGGAAAATAACTTATAATACCATCACTCACCGATTACATTTTTGGTGACAATCCTATAATTTTTTTGTACTTATATTTTTTAAAATGGATCCTACTGTAATGGGTTTAATAAAGAGATTCTTTTTAAACTATAAAAAGAGTCTTATTCTGTTTTGTATTTTGTCACTGTGTTTGGATATAAACAAATTACATTAGCACATGATAAAATGTTTGGAAAAATTCAGTTATCCTTAATGAATTTTAACCTTAGTTCATATTTTAGAGGTAATTTTATACTTATTTCTCTTTTCTCTATCTTCTAGAGATTCAAGAACTATAAATTAATTTTGGCATCTGGATTCATATCCAGATGATGGCAAAATAAAAATTAGATGTACTCTCAGATCAAGCTATCTGCTGTTGATCATATTTATACTCCCCTTCATTAGAACTAGTAATTTAAGTTGCTTTTATGCGGATAAGAAAAGATCCGTTTGTCTTGGAGAAGGAAAACTTCAGCACAATGAAAAAAATCAGAATGTAAGCAAGTTGCACTTGAATGTATCTAATATTTCCATTCTGATGAAGATTGCAACTGCTATATCTTTTATGGGTTTGGTTCTATGAACCTTCGTTTATTTTGATAAATATATTTTACAGTGTTATTCCTCAGTAACAGCTTGTACATAACTGCCTAGAATTTCTTATTTTTTATGAACTTTAATAGAGAAGTAGATGGGTAATGATAATAGTAACTGACACCTTTCTCCAGAGAGGAACCTGTATTTTAACTAGATTTTAGATAATTAGAAAATGGGACCTAAAAATGTGGAAGTTACTTAACTGGAGATGTTTGACAAAGCATTCGTCTGTGCAGTGCTTCTCAACTGGAGTGATTGTGCCCCCCAGTGGACATTGGACAATGGAGACATTCATGTTTCACCACTGGGTGGGGTGGGGAGAGGGGGACAGGACTACTACTGGTATCTAGTGAGAAAGGCCAGGACAGTTTTCAAAGAATTACCAGGCCTCAAATGTCAGTAGTGCTGAGGCTGACAATCCTTTCTTTCTTTTATTTGGGGAGGAGTGGTGATGGATGTTGCCTGAGGGGAATTGTAAAAATACAAGTTTGTTTAGATTTGAATCTATAGATCATAGTTTAGAGCTGAAATAAACATGCATATTTTAATTATTTGAAATAATATAGTCACTTTTTTCTACTCATGAGTTCTAGTCATTTTCACATTTTGAAATTTTTTAAAAAATATGTTTTTATTTAAGAACAATATAAAATCAATTACCTGCAGGATAAAATAAATTACTAACTTGATGTCTATAGATTGGATCATTTGAAGCATGTGATTTCTTATAACATGTGTAAAACATTACTGTCTCCTAAAAAACTTGACTTTGTTTCAAATAAACAATAAGCTGACAAGCTTTGAAAAACTGATAGGCATCAAAATGTCAAAGATAGCATGGCCGGGTGGTTCAATGGTTGAGCATCAATTCATGCACCAAGAGGTCACAGGTTCAATTTCAGTTCAGAGCAAATGCCCAGGTTGCAGGCTCAATTTCCAGTAGAGGGTGTGCAGGAGGCAGCTGATTGATGTTTCTCTTATCAATATTTCTCTCTCTTTCCCTTCCTCTTTTTATAAATCAACTGGAGGCCTGGTGCACAGGTTCCTGCACTTGGGTGGGTGTGGGCGAGGTCCCTCAGCCTGGCCTGTGCCCTCCGCAATCCAGGATCCCTCGGGGGATGTAGCAGTGCACCAAGCAGCAGGCAGCCAGGGAGGAGCCTGAGCCGCTCCAACTCATCCCGGCCCACTGCGCCTGCTTCTGGCCATGAGCTCAGCTTCTGGCTGAGCGGTGCTCCCCCCTGTGGGAGTGCACTGACCACCAGGGGTCAGCTCCTGCATTGAGCGTCTGCCCCCTGGTGGTCAGTGTACGTCATAGCAACTGGTCGACCAGTTGTTCGGTCTTAAAGGTCACTTAGGCTTTTATATATATAGATATAAATAAAAACATGTTCGACACTTGTTTTTGAGGTTATATCTCCAAGATAAAGACTATCATTGGTAAATACCTTTGCCTCTTGTTTTTAAATAATTCATCCAATGACCTTTTTTAGTTCTCTGAAACCAACATTGATTGAAGTTTAATGTGATTTTCCCAAATCTTACCTTTTCTTGGCCTACAGAAAGATGATGTATGAGGGAAAATTATAGAGAAGTAAACCTGCTTATGGTGTGCATGAGATATGTACGTGGATGTAAAAATAGTTCTGATAAGTCTGTAATTGACTTTGGAGTGTGGGGTGCAACACCAAATATAAACTATTCAGGAGATTAATAGAAGGCACAAGAAATATCAAAGCAAATGATTTCATTAAATATTAATTTATGAGTTACTTGGAAGCTGAAGCTCATCTATACATAAGTATGCAGAATATCAAGTTGCTTGCAAAACCAGACTATATCAGATACACTCTGAGATCCTCAGCTTATCAGATGGAATATAAGACCAGCCACGATGCTCATAGCATATCAATTGATGATGCTTTTAATTTATTTAAAAGAAAGAAAATCATAGCTTCCCCACTGCCTGCACTTGTGGTCCTCAAAAAAGAGAAGTTAATAATACGGGCATGTGTACATATTCTATTTGGGGAGGTAGAAGTAGGAATTATGATTGCTGTGTCAAACAGTAATATTGGCAAATTTCCTCCATCGGACCTGTGCCATATTCCCACTTGCAATAAACCAGAGTACTTACATCCTTAGAATCTGTTGACTTTCAGATATTTGCCAATTTGATGGATGAGAAGTACTTTTGTTGTTTTAATTTGTGTTTCCAAAGATGGCTATAACAATAGTTCCCATCCCACATGCTTTGTTTTGCAGTGTTACCTGGCCAGTTTTCCATAACACAGAGGTAGAGCCTGTTTCCCCTTTCCTTGAATCTGAGCTGGCCCTGTGACCGATTAGTAGTATGTGTTAGAAGTGACATCATGCAGCTTGCAAGGCTGTTATCTTAAAATATATTTCTTCCTCTTTCTTGTTCTTGGAGTCCTGAGCCATCACAAAATGAAACCACAAGTAGTGTGTGAGCATGCGAGGGAGGGAGGGAGGGAGGGAGGGAGGGAGAGCGAGCGAGAGAGAGGTTACAAGTAAGGTTGAAGGTCTTTCCAATAGTTAGAAGCCATTTCCTTTTTGCCTTGTGAATGTACATGTCTGCCCATTTTTCTTCTGTTTTCTGGTATCTGTTCTTTTTCATGAGCTCTTTATAAATGTTATTTGTCCTTTGTGATATAAGTTGCAAACATTTCATCTCTGTTTGTCATTCACCTTTGATCTTGTTTTTAGTTTTATTTTTTACGTACTGTTTTAATTTTTGTCGCTAAATTTATCAATATTTATTGGTTCTAGATTCATAGAAAATCTTTCCCCACTTAACAGATTATAGAGGAAGTTATTTATGTTATCTTTCATTGTATCTAGTTTCTCACTCTCTTCCTCCCCTCCTCCTTTCCTCCCTTCCTCTTTTCCAAACCCTCCCTGACGCTCCCCTTATTAGATATGGATCTTATTTTGTCTTTTTCTAAATGGCTAACCAATTGTTCCATTTTTTTTAAAGGTCCATCTTTTGCCCAGTGATTTGAGATTGCCATCTTTATCATATACTGCATTTTGATTTGTAACTTGGAAAAATTGATGTTTCTGCGAGGGGACACATCCTGGAAACTCCTATCTCATCACTGTGCTGATGTCAGTACAAACTATTTGAGAACTAGACAAAATAAGGGCTTTTTAAAAATTTTTTTTTATTTTTTATGTAGTGATCTTGTTGCTATCCATGGCTTGTTGTTAAGTCCCATTTCTCAAATCTGCAGCATTAGCAGATTTCAACGAAGTGGTTAGAAGTGGTTAATACGCATACTTGCCTAGGATGTAGGCATATTCACTTCCTAATGACCTTTATTACATTGAAAATAGCAAGTGTTGAATATGCTAGTCTTTGGCAGTGAATATTAATGTTTTATTTTCCCCAGTGATATTGTATCAAAATGGCATTTGCCAAATCAAACTAAAACTGAATTCTGAG